TAAATGGCACATGGGGCATAATTACATAATAAGAATGGGGTCAGTGATTGAAAGGGAATATGCACTAGCAAAAAAAATTAATTGGTAGATGGGATATATTTTCTATTTTCAAAAATATGCCTTGGTGTTGATACTAATTTATTTTTTTCAAGTATGAATATGAAGAGGACAAAGAAGGATGAACGGCAGCAGCCACCACAATACCTACAGCAGCTGCGTCTGTTTTCAGCCTTTGGTGCAACTGGGAAAAGGGTTGGTTGGAAGAGTTATATGCCTCTAACGGTTTAAGACATCCCCAGCTAGGGAAATCTGTACAGCAATGGCAGACAGCCACCCACTCCCTGCTGGGTCCCCAAAGAATCCCCCCCTCCCACTCTCAGCCCCTCCCACAGCTCCCCTTAAGAATCTCAGAATGACTGTGGATCAAGCCAATGGTGGGTATGATCTAGAAACCATGGCGGACACTCTGGTTTCCCTCTTTTCTGGCATGCCCTGTCAATTCCTCTCTGCGTCACGCCAGGTTTGTGCTCACTGCTCCGCATAACTCTCCCATTCTCCTCAGTGTAGCAAAACTTTTGCATTCCAGAATGCCAGTGATGGGCAAGGCACCCTGGGATTCCTCTGACTCTGACATAATTTTGGCTGAGGGCACAGCTCAAGCTCTTGAAATTGTGAGCCCCTCCCAGATCCCTTTGGGAATGCAGCAAGTGCTACCCTTTGCCTCTTGGAACCACTGCAGTGAAGATCATGGGGTTTACTGTGAGGAGGGCCTGGGTAGAGACAGAGAAAATCTCCAGGGTGCTAAATTACCAAAAGCTCCCATTTACTGAGCACCTACTAAGTTCTGGGCATTGTGCCAGGCACTTACAGTTATATCTTAATATTGCCAGGTGTGTTAAGAGCAGGGACTAGACTCCATGGGCTCTAACCTCAGCCACTTCCTGAGCTTTTGCCTTGGAACAGAGTACTTAACCTTTCTAAGCCTCGGTGGTGATGGTGATAATGGTACGTACCTTCCTCGTGGGGTGTAAGCAGCTTCAGTGCATTATTAAGCCATCATTAATATGAATGACCCTTATTTCTACCCAGTGAGGTAAGCAGTATTATCCCCATTTAACAGATGGGGAAACTGGTTCAAAGAGGTTACACAAATTGCCCAAAGCTGTCCAGCATCCCAAAGACCGAACCTGGATTCCAACTCAGATGGGGCTGTAGGCAAAACCCTCATATGACTGTCCCTTGCTCCATTTGAACACAGCGTACAGTTTGATTTGCATCCCAGGGCTCAGCAAAACCACAACTGTGCCTATACCTTCCAAGGATGTCAATGATTCACGAACTATGATAAAAATAACCTCTTACATTTATACAGAGTGCTTTAGAATTTACAACAATCTTTCACATTCAAATTTGACTCTAAGGAGAAACCTACTTTTAATTTGTATAAATTTTATACAACATAGCAAAACAAAGAGAAAATGCAGTGACCTATAATCTCATTATATATATACACACAGACATATATATACATATAAATATATACCATATATATGGTATGTATGTCTATGCATGCACATGAGTGCAGATAAATTAAAATACATTTTTTTTAAAGGGAGTGTTTTAGAAACTCATTAAAGAAAGGCTTTGATCTCAGTATTAACTGCCCTCCCTACATCCCCTTAACGTTCATCTCAATGCAAAAGACATGCAAGGAGAGGTCTGGACCTGAAGTTGGAAATTGATCTGGGGAAAATTGAACTGCTCTGGAAATGAGAAGACTTGCATCACCTGTAGGTGATCTGGGAGAAAGAGGAGAGGAAAAGGTGAAAAATCCCTGCCCATTGGAAGGACTGTTAAGTCTGCAGAAGGATTTCCAGTCGTTTGCTGGGTAGCATGTGATGCAATCCCTTGCCTGCGTCCCACTGAACATCAAGAGAAATCCTGCTGCTGCAGGAAACAGCCTCGTATTCACGTAGCTTTGGGAGAGCGGTGGAGAGGGGCCAGTTCCACATTTGGTCCAGTTAGGACAGCCAGGAGAAACAGTGACGTTCCAGAACTCAGGGCAGGCAGTGAACGGGGCCACATGTGCTCCCCTGGGAATCTCTAGACATCTTGGGAGCAGGATCGGAGCATGTTCAGGATCTGAAATGGGGGATTCTTGTCAATACCTCATAGTTCTAACCAATAAATTGGCACCAGCTAATATATGGGCTGCATATTTATATTTCAAAAAATTGGGACAGTAATTACATATGCAGTTCTGTAAGCAGATTTTTTTTTTTTTTTTTACTTATCATGGCATGAACATTGACCCATGCCATTAGATATTCTATGAAAACATGGTTTGTAATACCAGCATAGAATTCCACTGTGTGCATGCACAAAAATTTACTTAACTATGCTTCTATTGTTGGAGCACTTAAGTGATTTCCAAGCTTTTGACATTATAAATAATGCAGTGATGACCTCTATGTACACAACTCTTTTTGAGCAGCTCTGATTATTTTGTTAGAAAAAAAATTAGCAAATCGTCTTCTAAATAGGCTGTGCCAGTTAACCCACCTGCAAAAATGCCTGTAAGAACCTGCTTCATTGCTGCTTGCCAATGCTGCTTATCATCTATTAAAAATAGATACATTTTGGTCATCTTACAGGTTAAATTTGATTATCTGAGACATTGGACATTTTAAATTTGTTTTTCACCATTCATATTTTGTTTGGAAATTACCTCTTTATACCTTTTAGCTTTTTCTTTTCTATCAGCGTGATGATATTTTTATTGACTTGCTGGAGCTCATTATATGTAAGAATAGTATCCCCTTTTTATCAGTTTTGTCATATATTTTCCCACACTCAGTTTATCTATTTGCTTTTGAATTCTGTTACTACGTATAGAAGACTTTTCTTCTCTTTCTTCTTCCCTTTTGACGTAGTAAAATTTGTAAATTGTGACTCAATGGTATATTTGCTCGCTCATTAAATGAACTGAAAGTCCCTCCTAATACAAGAACAATATTTTGTTTATTTTCTTCTGCTTGTTGCTTTTTTCTGCTTTTAAGTTCTTAATTGATCCAGAATTTATTTAGCATAGCATGATATACATGTAATGCATTCTATTTTTCCAAATTATTAACCAATTACAAATATACTATTTGTTAAGCAATTCTCCATTCATATAAACTTTTAACAGCCAGTTTCACTATATGCTAGATTATTATCTGAGCTTTACTTATTATAGCTATAATAAATGATATTTCACAGTGAGATCGGCCCCCACCACCACTTTTTCAAAGTATTCTTCATTACTTTCTCCTGTATGTTCTTTCAGATCAATTTTGAAATCACTTTGTCAAGTTCCAAAAAAAAATTCCATTAGAGTTTTGATTGCAATTGTATTAAACCCATAAATTAATTTGGGGAGAATTGATATCTTCGCAATATTAAATTTGCTAATCCAACAACATGATATATCTGTCCATTTATTCAGGTCTTGTTTTATCGTCTTCAATACAGTTTTGAAGGTCTTTGTGTTTTCATATAGTTTCTGCACATTTCTTGCATTACTCCTAAGTATTTATATTTTAATTGCATTTGAGAATAGGACACATTTTACTATATTTTTTATAATGGTTATTACTGGCATATGGCTATTGATTTTTGTTATTTGCTTTGTGTCTGACCATAATACTGAAATTTCTTAGTAGTTCTAATAGCTTTTTTTTGGTTTAGTTTATTCTCTTAGGCTTCGAGGCTATAAGAACATTTTCTGCTAGAAATAAGAAATTAAGAAATTGCCTTTCCATTCCTGGCTTACTAAGAATTCTGATCAGTAATGAAGGCTGAAATTTTTCAAATTACTTTTCAGGCTCTCTGGGGAAGATCAGATGGCTTTTATCCTTTGACCTACTGATATGAGGCATTACACCAATAGTTTTTCTATTATTCAACATTTTTCATCAGTGCATTTCTGGAATAAACCCAACTTGGTCAGGTGCCTTATGCTTTCATAATGATGTTGGACTCTGGGGGTCATATTAGAATGAGATTGAGCTTTGTAGCAATGCTGTTAAAGGTTCAATTCCTAGCTGGGCCACTTGGGCAGGTATGTGGCCTTGGGTAAGTCACTTACCTTCCAGATGGTCAGTGGAGGAAATTATACCCACTCCACTAGGTTGCTGCAAGAATTCAAGTAAAATACTCAAAACAAGCTCAACACTACAGGCCTTCCATATCATAGACACTCAAACTGGGAAGCCACTGTTCTCATTACTATAATCATACATTTTCTTTGTGTTGTTATCTCAAGATTTTCATAGGTGTAGGAAAGACTGACCTCTAACGTTAATATTTTTTTTTTCAATCCAGCTAGCTCGATAAACAAACAGACAAACACTGTTAGCTTTTATTATCATTAATACCTCTTTGTGGCTCATTTTTCTTCAAATCGCACCCTTCAAGGTTAGATGCGATCAGGGGAGTATTTACCAGGGTGTGTTTGTTGACTTACTGTACTTCACCTTCCAGGCAGCCCTAGTTCTCTAGAGAGCATGGGATGGCAGAAAAATCTAAACGTAACAAGATGTTTAATAGATCTTTTCTTGTTACTTTGGAATTTAACCTAAGGCTACAAAACCAAGAAGGGTAAGCAGTAAGTACTGGCACATCCCACAGAGAACAGCTAAGGCACTTCCAGACGTCCTTCCAGAGATTGCTAAGAGGTGCCCAACTGGACCCTCTTCACTCCAACACCGCACTCGGCCCATACAATAAGGAGACTGCCTGGGTTGGGAGGAGAGAGTCTCTGAGGTTGTGAATTGTAGGTGTAAGGAGAGAAGGCTTTATCTTTTCTCCTCCTCTTCTCTAAGCCAAGTTGGGGCAGGGGGGACTCCAAGGTAACCTCTTGTAGATATTGTGTGTGTGGTGGGAGGGAGGGGAGAGGGTCTGCAAGAAGAGGAGATGGACCTCTCATCTCTAGCAGATGCTTGCTCATCTGCAGGCACCTGCTGCTCCTGCAGCAGCTCCCGAACTGAGTGTGGTGAGAGCAGGCTTGTCCCCTTCATCCTCTCGTCTCTCCTCCATGGTCCTACACCCCAGGGAAGGAAGCACAGAAGCAGCAGAAAAGGGGCGGGAAGGGAAGTGAAAGCACAGCCAGTACCCCTTCTCCCAATCATTTGGAGGAAGTGGTAGTCATAGGCCGTCTTCTGTGGCTGCCTTCAGTCTGGGGTCCCCCGCACTGCTCCGGCAACAATGTCCCTTTGAGCATAGCATGGCATGCATGGAAGCCCCCTCCTTTTCTAGTTTCTCACAGTGTTGAAGATTTCTCCATTGGTCTTTAGATCTTGCTTTGATTCTGGGGGGGATGGTGATTTGACTCCTATTGGTTAATCTTGCTGTGCTTCCCTAAGTCTTATGGATCATCTCAACAGGATTATGACAGGGCAGAGATGGGAGTTAGATGTCTGTACTCCTACCACCATCCTGCCCAGAAGGAAGTTCCATTTACTTCTAATTCAGAGCCTTAAGAGCTAGGCCAGGTTGTGCTCCCCTCATTTTACAGATAGTGAAGCTGAATCTTCTAGAAATGAAAAAAAAAATAGCCTCACAAGGCCACTTATGTGGCTTTGTTCTACTTTCTAGACCCTCAATTCGTCTTTCCCTCTTTCTATCCCTCCACTCTGCCCCAGAACTGCAAGCTAGGCTGAAAACACAGAGCCGGCCTGAGGATCCTCATCGCTGGGGGTAAGCACGCATCTCCACTCCCTGTTTGCACGGTCTCGTTCTCACTAGCCTTGGCCTCCCAGAAGAGAGAAGGGTCTAGATAACATGTTTCTCTCACATACTTTGGACTACAGACAGAATCAGAAAAAGGACAATCCTCATCCTCCTCCCACCCCCTCTATCAGGTACCATTGCAGCCACACATGAAGGGCTCCAGAACATGTGCATGGCCGCTCGTCTCCCATCTTCCCTGCAGCGATCAGAGCTTCTGCACTAATCCACCACTGTCCGAGAAAGTAGACAGTAGCAACCAGAAAAATACTTTACAACAGGGTCCATCATGCCACAGTGAGGAAAATCAGTTTAGGTTCTGACATCCTCTTCCCAGGCCTGAGATTTATTTCTAAATAATGTTCATTAGGGGGCTTCTATGTTCCGGGTTCTCTGCCAGGCATATAACTTATCTCTGAAGATTCACAACAAAATGGTGTATTGTAATCTCCCATAAATGGAAGAAAAGAAACCGAGACACAGACAGATATACTATCATCCAGCTAGCAAGTGCCAGCTTGAAATAAAAACCAGATTCTTTTTGGCTCTAAAGCCCCTATTCTTTTCACAAAATTCTAATGACGACTCTCACTTCATTGAGCCCAGCAAATTTGAATTTCTCTTTTTTATCCCTTTGGAGAAAAGAGAGAGGTAGACACATATCACTTCAAGTAGAAATCCATAAACATGAAAATAAAGTATAATGTGCAATCAACCCTCAGGTGGAGAGAATGGGAAGAGAGCCCTCCAAATCAGCAGTACGTGTCGCATTTCTGGCTGTACAAAGTCACTTTTCACTTGGAGAGCCTGAACTCTGCGAGACCAAGAGGAAGTGCATTCCCAGGCAAGAGGCCTTTGATTTGCAAGAGTACGCAATCACGGGGGATGCCTGATCGCTTGGCTTGCTGGAGTGTCGATTTGTGATTCCATAACTATGATGCGAAGGTTGCGGCCCTGAGTCTGGCTCAAGCAGGGCTTTCAGGGAGGAAGGGAAGACATTTCTGGAGCATAAGAGAGATAACATCAGGGTGCTGAAGACCTGTTTTTGAGATAAAAAGGAATATGTCTCCTGAGAGTAAAACCAGAATCCATAAATGGGTGTTGCATGGAGGCGGATCTGAGTGACAACAAGGGAGAGTTTCTTCTGTTTGATGCTGGGTGATAGTTTTAAGACACTAACAAGCAGGTGTTCAGGCCATTAACAGTGCAGAAAAGATGCAGGACTGAACTGGACCAGCGTGGTGTCCACACCTCTCATCATCTCCCTAGCCTCCCCCGGTTACTGACCTTGGCTCTCATTCTCAACGCCATTGCCTTTGATTGTCCTTCTGGACTCCAAATAGTTGATGCTAGCAGCTTGCCTGCTGTCTCTACTCTTTTGAGCCTAAAGGATGTTCTCTGCTCCTACATAAGACCCCATCCAGAGTTTTATGACAGCCAGGCTAACACTGGGGAGAGAATAATAGTAACCACTCAGGATCCCCAGCAGTGAAGTGGTCTGCCAAGGGAGAGCATGAGTTTCCCATCAGAGGCAGCATTCAAGGTGAGGCTGGGTGGGCACCAGACAGCCCTACTAAGACCCAACTCCTATCACTGGATGTCTGCGGTTGGAGATGTGCCAGAGGAAACCACCAACTGTTCTAGACAAGAAAACCTTTGAGAGTCCAGACTAGAATATGATCATCACGTTCTGAAATGGGATTTCTTATGGGACAATGAAAAACAACGAAAGAATATAGCCCACTCTTCCAGATGCCAGTCAGTCCGGAGAAACAGACAAGTAAGCCTTCCTCTTTTGATCTAACAATTTATAATCACAGCATCCATAACAATAGCAGCAACAAATGATGATGTGTTTCATTATAGGCATCTAAAGAGTATTTTGAGCTTTTCAAAGCACGTTGGTGGACGTTATCGCATTTGTTCCCCAGGCCTGTATCTCAGGAAGGATGGGGAATGATTAAACTGAGAAAAAGGAACAAAATGATGAATGAAAAAAATAAATGAAAGGGGCATCTCAAGAGAACAGCATGAAGAAAGAATTAAATTGTTTTCATCGGTACTAAGTCCTTTGATTCTAAAATCCAGGTGCAATCAGGCAGTTCTCAGGGAAGAGAAAGAGGTGATCTGCTGGCCTCTCCTGAACTCCAGATCTACATATGTCAACATTTGCTGCGCATCCTCACGTCAAACACAACACATTCAACCTGTACCGGCTCCCTTGCCCCTAAACCATCTTTTGTGTTTCCATCTCAGTAGACAGTTCCACAACTTGTCTCCCAGTTATCCAGAACCTAACCTTAACCCCACAATCCCAGATTCCTATCTGATAGTCTGTCCAGGTTCCAGCTTAACTGGCTAAGAGTCTTGCTCTAAACTCCAGACTGTTGGGCTGGGATGCTGCTCTGTAGCCAAACTCTTGACAATCTCCACCGTTAAGGGTTGGACCCTGCTCCCAATGCCCCAGGGATCTACCTGGTCAGTGACCCATCAGACCTGGCAGAACCAGAATACACCCCCACCTGCCCTTGCTGAATTGGCGCCCTGGTATTTTCCTGAGCTACATCTGAGCTTGTAGCTTCCTGTTCCGAGCCTCTGTCTACTTCTACCATGTCCTTACTAGGCCAGCCTCTACCACCATGCCCAGCATAGAGTTTGGCACATGGAAGGGACTCAGCAGATGTTTGCTGAAAGGGACTATAGCTGCAGTGTGCAGCAGCCATTCATTCTCGGCTGATCTCCATAGTTACCCATCTCCCTATAACCCAATCCCACCCTCAGGAGGACACCTGCAGAGGAAACTCCATCAAACCATGTGTTGTGGGCTTCCTTAGGCCACGAGACTTAGCTCTAAGCAATTAATTGATTTGTGATATTGGTCTGATGATCCTGAGCCTTATTTTCTTCCCGTCTACCTCTCAGAGCTGCCTCAAGGATTAAGCAATATAATGGGCATACTACCAAAGCATGTTGGTATGGCACAGTACCTCAGTGGTTCTTCAATGTTGGTGTGCATCAGCATCACTCAGAGAGCTGCTTAAAGCAGAGATTTCTGGGCTCCACTCCCAGAATTTCTGGATCACTAGGTCAGGGGATGAGGGCCTGAGAATGTGCATCTCTAACAAGTTCCCAGGGGATGCTGATGCTGCTGGTCCAGGGACCACACTGTGAGAACCACTGCTCTAGATCATTCTAAGAGCATTGTTCTTTCCATACCAGCCCTGTTTTTCTCCATGAAGTATGCTGTTTCAATCCTCAACTTTACATTTTACTCTTTTTTGCTGTTTTGTTGGAGTCTTAACCCAGCCTGTAAATTCCTCTGGGCAGAAATTATACCTTCCACACTCCACACTCTCTCATTTTCTGTTTTATAAAATAATGAGTACATTTCCAGTGTGATTAATAATAGAATAAGGAAAGGGGGGGGGAACTCAGACCACCAACCCCGATAAACAGCATCCACAAATGGATTTCAGCTCCGGAATCCTCTTTAAAATTAATTATGAGGCAAAGAACATTCTACCATCAGTGGCAATGTGGGAAAGAAGATTATCTTCTTGATGACACATTTTGTAAAATGTGGGTTATTCAAGATTTTAGCTGTAACTTAGTTAAACACCAACATTTTTTGAAATATAAAACCACAAACAGCATTTCAACTCATAATTTTTATAGTGATAGTCAGACAATTGTGTTTTCAACATGTAAAATCCATTACACAGTCGTGGCAACAGTTTGCAATAGATTGTAAATTTTTATTGAGATGATCATCTTGCGATTGAATTTCAAAATGTATTATATGATCATCAGCAAATAAGTCCACGGGGGCTGCTAAAGTACTTTGAATATCATTTATAAAGATCAAAAACCCTGGAAACCCTCAGATTTCCCCTGTGGAAAGAGAAAAGTCTCATCAGCAGGATCAAATCAATTATTTTTATGGATGAATATTGAATTGCAAAGCTGTGATAAGGTATTACCTGGTTTAATAACATATTCTTATGCCCCTTTAAAGCAGTAAGTTTCATAATCAGGTTTCAATGAGGAATTTTACCTAAGGCCCGTTTTTGAAAATAATCTAGAAAATGGCATCTCTATTCATCATAGTGGTTCAATAACATTCAAAGGAATATTCCCAAGCAACGGAAATACTCAGTAACCTTGGGTCACATATGACCGAGATGCACTACTGAGAGACTTAAAAATGGTTACAGTCAATTCTGCTATAACGCTTGTTTTGACAACATGAATGTGTTCCAACATGATTGATGTATTAGGGAATAATCTGAGCATAACAGGAACTTCACATT